CTCGTCGCCATCCTGGCTGTCGCTACCGCTGCCCCTGGAGGTCTCACCGGCATCGTCGCTGACCACGGAATTGGCCCGATCCATGCTCCCTTGGTCGTCTCACACGCGGCCCCGGCAGTTGCCCACGTGATTGCCCAGCCTGTTGCCCCCATCGTCCGCACCGCTCCCATCGTCACCAAGTCTGTGCTGGCCCATGCTCCCCTCCCCCTTCTCGCTGCCCATAGCTTGCATTAGATGACAAAAACTGACCCTTATCTTACTACCACCAAGTCACGACGAGACAATCCCACCTACCCCTCACCCACCTGGAGAACACGTACACTCTAATTTTCTCGTAAATCGTCCACACCCAAAAAAAAAAGAAAAAAAAAAAAGAGAAAGAAAGAAACGGCAAAGGCAAAGGAAGGAAAGGGGAATTGAAGAACGAGGACGCGAAGGGAAGGACAGAGACGAGGAACTCGAGGATGGAACGAGGAAATCAGCAAGTAGATCACTTCCCTCGCTCCTTCCGGCCGTCTCACCATCGAGACGTCACTTTTGTCGGGACACGGCGACCCCATCCGCGATTCTGAGATCATCGACGTAATTTGGACAACCCGCATCTCCAATCATTGCACCATCATCCAGGATCCACCCTCCCCTCCCCCCTCCCCCCCCCCCACTTTGGACATATGGAATTTTAATAAAATTTTATTTAAAAAAAAACAAACAAACAAACAAACAGACAACACGATTCGTACCTTTCACTCCAGCCTTTCGCCTGCCGCGCGTCTCGAACGCGTCTCTTTTCCAATTTCGTGGAGTAGAAGGAAAGAATCGTCGAGATTAAGCAACGCAGCTGTCTTGGATAAAGTTTCGGGGCAAAGTGTGTCCCCACGACCGTCCCCGCGACGCGTTCACCTCCATCGGAGGATCGTACATCTCCGAAGAGATGGCAACGTGCAACGATGTTCGCAGACAAACGTACGGTGTCGTTACACGCAGACGAGCGCATCAACTACAGCAGCTCGATCCTGCCCGCTTTCGCAAATGTTCTTGCATGAATCTTCCGACCGTTTTACGACCATCGTAAACTCTCTTTCGTTTCTCTTTTTTTTTTTTTGAATTTTCCATCCTTCGTCTTACAGAGTCTGGTAAACACCATCGAGCTTCGTGCACCGCCCTCTTCCCATCGTTTCCGTCGTTCGATACGCTTGAACTCGAGTTGTCTAGCGCTTGTCGACCGTGTCGCGGATTTTACAGCCGGTATAACGGAGAGGAAGAATCGAGTTCGAACGTGGAAATGAACAAAGGGAAACAGTTTTTACAGCTGTCTCGTGTCTTTACTTTGAACAGTGGTTTATTTCAAATTGATGTATAAAATCATTCGTCGCCGTTGTTTTAGTTTATTTTAGCAAGAGCAATTCCACAGTTGGAGAGAGACTGTTTGGGTTATCGTTTGATCATCAGTAGAAGTAGTATCCCGGGTGGTACCATTTGTAGCTATGAGCGTAAGACAAAGGCAAAGTTGCAGTATGCAGAGGCAACACCTTCACGTAGGGGTGCGAGTAGACCAGCGGGGGTGCGATTACTGGCGGCACTGGAGCTGGTGCAGCGTAAACCGCCAAGATGGTCATGGCCAGCAAAAGAATCTGTATCGATAAGAGGAACCAAAGTGTTATTTTTCTTTCTCTACTCTCTCTATTTAGAGAATAGAACTATCTCTCTCTTATAATGACAATTTTTCTCTATCATTATTTCATTATCAGCAGTCGGAATTATGTTATTAGTAATGTTTCAGTTTCGTTAATAATTAGTGAAACTTCAATTTCACATGCAGACATATTCAATTGGACGACGACGTTATGATTGCTGTTGAAGGGTTAAATTGCTCTAATTACTCGCCTCGTTCATTCTTGAATATTCAACTTTCGTCGATAAATGAGATTTCCTGAAATGAATGCAACTACAGTGGTAAGAATATTCCTTCGTCGACGGGTAGATCGAGTTTTCGGTTAAAAGAACATAATCGTTCTTTTTAAAACAAGTAGAATGAAGCAAGTTATGAATTTGTATGCAACATTCTGACTTATGCTTCTTTGCATGTCCATCGGAGATTTATTTGTATCTTCTAATACAGGAGAGAATTTCTAAAAAAAAAAAAATTCTGTCTAAAAGTTTAAATAGATGAAGTAAATCTAATAAAAAAAATTCTATTCTAAATTTTATGATATAAATTGTAATAATACAAATAACTTACGTGTGTTCATTATTTGAGAGAATTATTCTAGGGATATAATAATGGAAATAAATTGTTCTATGCCTAAATTAACGTTCGAATATACTTATAGCTTTGCAAATATATTTAGCTAGACAATAAACCATTGGTACGGCATTTACATTAGGCAACTGATTTTCAATTACTCGTATAAATCAAATTGAAACTTTTAATCGTTGAAGCAAAACTAATCCATTCCTTGTATTATCTAATTGAAGGATCTACGGTTCATTTAAAATTGACAGTTTTCAAATATCATACGTATACACGTCGATTATTAATAATGATCAGGTTGCAAAATTTGTGAAAGTAACTGCACTAAGTGTTATTTAGAAAGTAAATAAACTAATTTACTTGAGCAAGTAAATTTAACGTGGAAGACACACATAAAACGATCAATCTCGTCTGTAAAAGCAAAGTAAGATAGCGGTAATTAACTAATTTATCGAGCACAGTACAACGAAATGGATTTTTAAACGAGTTAGTCTGTCGAAAGAAAAGGTAGATAATATTTGTTAATATCGACGACCAGGTATTGAACTTATCATTGCAACGAGATTGCAAGTGATAGATACAAACGCGTATTGCTGTTAATAATGTACATCAGTTGAGCTCGTGTCTGATCCTAGACGATCTACTTTCACTTGCTCCCTCGTATCTTCTTCCACATCACTTGTCCCAACAAATACTTTGTTCAACTCCAACAGAAGTTAATAACAAGTTCTCATATCGAAATTTCGAGTACTGTATTTAATAAAAATTATTTATTAAATTGACAATAAATTTAAAGACACAATTGAGATCAACTTATTTTGCCATTTCTCGTATTAAGAACGAGTTGAAACTATTCTCGTAGAAAAATTATATATCTGCAATTTGTTCATTTTTATTATTACGATTATACGTGACACTTTGATTATCAAAATCCACGTCAAATGTAATTAAATGCTTTTAACAACGAGATACATTTCCTGATACAGTATTTGAATTAAATCACTGTTTCACTTACGTTATTATATACAATCAACAATGTCAAACTTTCGACATTCATCGCAAAATATCAAAAACGATTTCATATATCATTTACATGATTTACCCTGATTATCTGTGCTCCAATTAATTTTGGAATATCCTATTTCAATTCCTATTTTATCCGATAAATATATTTTCCGTGTAAGATGTAACATACAAGTCTAATTCAAGTCAATTCTTCGTAAAAATTTCACAAATTTGCAACGATATATTTCTATGGATTTGAACGATTCCTCGTAAAATAAATGGATAAATAGGAAGTAATCGTTGGCAGCCGATACTCTAAAATAAAAAATATCCTAGCTTGTTGAACATCGAATTTCTATTCGGCACGCAATTGCACAATTGAGGGTTGATTATACAAAGAGTGTAGAAAAATTTCGAACCACCACGATCTCCGCATATTTTAACAAAAATCCCACAATTAAGCGACGAGTACCCTTCGCCGTAACAAACACTCACCCCCCTCTCTCCCCCCTCCCCCGCCCGCACGTGTAGTAAATAAGAGCATATAGGATATATGATGGATATACTTGCCAGCTTGAACATGTTAAACGTTTTATCGGCTTTCCCGTTGGCAAACACGAAGGGTACGCGAATCGATACTACTGTTAGCTCTACGGAAATCGAACTCTTTATATACACGTGCCGAAAGCTGTGTCATCTTCATTGTTCGACCCCACTCTGCACTCCCGCGCGCCTCCTTTGCAGCCTTGATCGCACCCGATAATCCGTATCCGCGAATCGAGCGATTTTTCTCGTCCTTCCCGTATCCGCTCTCTCTCTCTCTCTCTCTC